AGCAACTCTTCAGAATAAGTGTAAGTTACTCTCTCACAGTGAAAGTCATGTGTGAGTCCATGTGCAGCTGCATGCATGCATACATACCCCTTCCAAGACTGCCAGATGACAGATCTCACGCGTAGCATGTTTAATCAACACAATTAAAAATTAATATCCTCCCATTGAGAAACTATAACGCTAAAATGCGATCTTGTTGCTTTAAATTCTACAAGATCACAGGCAGCGACATGGAGACCTACCACTTCCGGTAAGGAAGTCAGTCAAACATAAAAGTCGTTTCTCATACAGTGTTTCTATTTATAAAAGATTACAATATTTTATGCTTACTTGCCAGTGTTGTGTTCCGGAGTAAAATTAAGGGTTTAATCTCGTTTTTACGCAGAATTATTTTTATTTTCGGGGGTTAAATATATTTACTCCTTAACCACGCCCCCACATAGGCACATACCAAATTTGGCGGGAGTTTTACTTTTGTGGAGAGCATTGTGTGTGTGTGTGTGTGTGTGTGTACCTGTTTTAAATGAAGTTTTTTGAAAATCTAAAAATGCAGAAAGTCTCCTGTGAGGGGTAGGTTTAGGGGTAGGGTTGGTGTAGGGCAATAGAATATACGGTCTGTAATAAACGAATAAAAAAATGAAACAGTAAATTCATAAATTATTATTAAATTATTAATAAAAATGAAAAAGACTAAAAATGACTTTCTCTGAGATTATTATACTTTTTTATTATTAATGCCCTACACCAACCCTACCCCTAAACCTACCCCTTACAGGAAACTTTCTGCATTTTTAGATTTTCAAAAAATATAATAATAATAATAATTAATTTAATCTCGTTTTTAATGAACACATGCTATACATTTATGGCCTTAAACATAAACACTAATTAAATATGGGTTTCTTAAAACAGAATCATTATGAACAAAATAAAAAGGACCTGAACAATGCAAATTAATCAATTACGTTTATTTATTTATTTTTTTGACCCCAGCACCAAATACATTCATTATTTTGAAACATACACCAGTAGCTCACACACCAGGAAAATTCATTTGCAGCAAAAACAAATAATAAAGACAACATATAATTGTTCTAATGTACCTATACTGATCATTTCAGATGTCAAAGTAATTATCATACAAATAAAAAGATAATAAACAGTACTATGAGAAGGATTTAGGCCACAGATGTTGCTAAAGTCAGAAACTGAAACTCTTTCGTAGGCTTTCAGTAAAACCGGCTGATGCTGGTACGATGAAGGGGGTCTAATAAACTGGTGTTTTATGCTTTATTAGAAATTCCATATTCATTTCAAAAGTAATTGTGCAAAGTTATTGTGTACTCAGCTTGGCATATGGGCAAACCCCGACTTCAGTCCAGATCAGAATGGTCCAAATCTGAGCTCATACGGTCAAAACCCATGAGAATGAAAAAATCCAACGTGTTTCATCTTCTGTCTGATGAAATAAATAACATGTTCTACTAACGACCGCATCTGATATTCTGTACATTCATTGATAAAGGCAAATCTTGATGTGAATGCAAAACATTTACCATTCTTAACTCATTGTGTGTTCCGGTCATTTTAACCCATTGAGGATTTTCTTTTACCTGAAATTCCTAGGCAATGTTATCGAATTGGACTAAAATGTACTGACTTTGCTCACAGAGATGGTGTAACAACTTAAAATTTGTTGTTAATTTTTGTACTTTTGTGTTATTGTTTCCCCCCACCTTGTTACACATGTGGTCTTCTTCAAAAATGACCGGCTTACAAAAAAATTCCTTAGAAATTTCTTCTCGTTATACTATATTATTACCAAATATTGTATTCAATCTTTTTAACAACTTGTTTTGCTTTAATTAGAACAGGTTTGAGCTAATGCACTTACATTTTTGAGCAAACATTGACAGAATTATCCACAAATAATGATTTTTTTTACTCAAAAACTGAGGTGAATAAGCTCAGATGGCCAGTCAGTTCCAAAAAGAAATACAAAACCTTAGCTAACTGAAAGAAAACAAGTTCACATTTGATTGATTCCAAGATTTGGTGACAATTAGTGCTGGGTAGTAACTGATTACATGTAAACTGCAGATTCCAAAAATTAAGTATCCACTAGTCAGGTGACTATAATTATACAGGCCACACAATTATACAGGCCGCCTGCATTAAAATTTGACATTTTTATGATTAAAATTAATTAGCTTTTCATCACCTCAAGAACCTCAATTTGGTGTTTAAAGCACTTCTTGATGTTGATAACAAAAAATGGGAAATATTTTCTTAAAGGGGTCCTATTATGCTTTTTCACTTTTTTAATTTTAGTCAGTGTGTAGTGTGTATGTTTGGGCATAAAAAAAGATCTAGAAAGTTACAAATCTCAAAGTCCACTCCAAAGGGAGATATTTCCTTTTTTTTAAAATCCCTTTTAAAGAACTACAACGAACGGCTCGTTTGGACTACAGCGTTTGTTTTCCGGGCTTTGTGATATCACAAAGCGGCTCATTAGAATATCATTAAAAAGAATTCCCGCCTGCAGAAATGTGAATGCAACACATTTTGTTTTTCGGAAGGCAGACCTTCATCAAAGCCGGAACTAATCGAGCCGTTTGTGCCAGGATGGGGAGAACGGTATTTTAATAATGTAAATTATGTGAAAAATAATGCGTTTTTCGAACCACCAAGCATGAGAGCATGTTCTAGTACACCCCCAAAACAAAATCAAGACTTTGTAAAAGAGCATAATAGGACCCCTTTAAGAGTTAGTTCAAAAGTAATCTAAAAGTAATCAAAGAGTACTCAGAATACATTACCTAATATGTGTAATACAACAGATTACGCTACTAATTAACTACATTTTCCGTTATGTAATTTGTAATCATGGACTACAGTTTGTAAATAATCTACCCAGCGCTGGAGATTATACAGCATAATGAGAGATTTACAAGCCATTTTTAAAATGCTGTTGTTGTTTTGTTGACCGGTAACACCAAATTAGGTAAAGCACAAGGGTAAAGAAAAACAGCATATTTGATTTGAAGACAAAATGTTAGGCTTGAAACATACTCTATGCAAATATGTGAAGTCAAATGCTACACAAACTCAAACTTTGTGTTGTTGTGTTCTGAAATTGATCAAGTATGTTTCTGGCTTTATGCTTATGAAAGTTTGCGCTATATGAGCCCATCACTGCAGAAATTTTAACCTACATTTGCTGCCATTTTGTGCTTTTATTAAATTGACAAAAACACAAATATGATGACAGCATTACTTTCTCATGCAGTTTCAATTAGTAAGTTCTTTTCAAATACAACATTCAAGCTTAATAACTTCTAAAAGACGTTTACCAACTCATACCTTTGCTTAGGATACTTTACAGAGATAATTCTCACTTTTCTTCTATAAAAACACAATGGAATTAAATCAGAAAAAAACATTTTTTCAGCTTATGATTTTGTGTGGTAATTCACCTTGTGATACTGCCCTTTTCCCATTTTTTTGTTCAAAAACCATACAATTGATTTTGAGATGAGACATCTGACCCATGTTATGGATTCAGATTCAGACAAAAAAATAGCTTGATTTTCACCATAAACAATACAAAATAGGCTAACAGTGTTTCGAAAGGCAAAGACTCCTATAAGTGCATGTTTAATTTTTTTCAGGGAAAAGCATCCAAATTAACCCCGGATACCCAGAATATTATAAAATCAGATGAATTTTATATATTATAAAATTCAAAAGCCAGATTTTTTCCCCAATCTTTGATAAGTTAGGAAATCAAATACACAAACTAAATTCCAAAATGTACAGATGATTTGATAATATATGATATCAACTCTTTAGCTAAATTAATATGTTGTAAAACGAATAAACAAAAATGATGCCCACCAACTTATTTACTATAAAATATGTTTTTAAAAACCTTTTGCGACCATATTTTGAGCTTATAATTACATCTTTGAGCTTATAATTAAATCACCGATCTATTAATAAAACCCATCAAATTTCCCCATATTTCAGATTAATATGTTTAAAATAATATGTATGAACACAATTTTTAACCAAGGAATGTACACTACTGGTCAAACATTTGGAATAATTAATTGGAAAGAAGACTCTTCTGCTCACCAAAGCTACATTTATTTGAGCAAAAATACAGTAAAAATAGTAAATATTCTGAAATGTTATTACAATTTCAAATAACTGTTTCTATTTGAATATATATTAAATTGTCATTTTTTTCCTGTGATGCAAAGCTGAATTTTCAGCATCATTACTCCAGTCTTCAGTGTCACATGATCCTTCGGAAATCATTCTAATATGCTGATTTGCTGCTAAAGAAACATTTCTGATTATTATCAATGTTGAAAACACTTGTGCTGCTTCACATGTTTGTGTTTTGATGAAATAAGGAGCAGGAGAGACTTCTTTCAAAAACATTAAAAAATCTTAATTCTTCCAAACATTTGACCAGTAGTGTATAAGCTAAAAATGCCAAATATAAAGAGCCAAAAAAGACCAAGCAAAATAAACAAAAAGGCAATTATATTAACAAACCATATCCATGAAAACAAACCTGAATCTGTATGGAACAGTGGCCACTGTGAGGGCTTAATGCCATAATTTGACATTTTTTTATCTACATATATTTATAGACATGGGTATAGTTTCAGATACACCCAACATGGTCTATATACACAAACCATATCCATGAAAACAAACCTGAATCTGTATGGAACAGTGGCCACTGTGAGGGCTTAATGCCATAATTTGAAATTTTTTTATCTACATATATTTATAGACATGGGTATAATTTCAGATACACCCAACATGGTCTATATAGAATAAAAACCTCCACCTGAAAACTCTTCTAACTATATAACCTAACAAAGAAACTGCTTAGACAAGTCCTCATACAATCAATAAAATATATTTGATAATCTCCCCCGTGATTATAATGAGTGCAACTTTAGAAAGTAGTGGAAATGCAGTAAGGCCATCCAAAATGAACCTGCAATGTGTATATATAGGCACATAGTTCTTTAATATTTGAGATACTGATGTGTGTAACTCTTAAAAAAGCTTCAATCATCATTGGTTGCTGCTTAAAATGATGGGACACTGTTCCACAGATTCTGCCATTAAGTGTGTAAACATTAAAACATGTGAACGTAGTACATAACACATGAAATCGCCTAAGGCAAATCAAACCCAGCTAACAGGGAACGTTTTGCTAACGTTCTGGCAAGGTTTTCTCAAAGTTATCAACAAACGTTCTTTCAGTAACGTTAATAGAATGCTTGTTTAAAGTTATCTGGTTTTTAAGAATGTTCTCAAAACGTTTTTTTCTGAAATCTTTCAGTTGGACATTCATCTGACATTTTTTTTTTTTTAAATGTTACTAATTGTTTCAGAACGTTGAGAGAGCATTCAAAAGTAACATTTCCATAATGTTCGCAAAATGAGAAAATGGAATGTTCCCTTAACGTTCGCATAACCAGGGGGAAAAAAAGGTTTTAACCTTCTGGTGCTTAACTTTATTGTTATAATACATATTTTCCGAAACATGTTTTACTCTAAAACTGCAATATAATTAAAACCATAATCGTAAACAAGTTGTGTTCCGAATTTGAAGTTTATATCACAAAAAAACGAGCTTTCAGTAAGATTTTCTTTGAGCGCAGTACCAAACGTTTCCACTAGATGAAATTCGTTTCCCATTCATTTCCAATGCGGACATTTTTGACTGCAAAAAATGGGACTATTTTTTTCACAACCATTTAATCTTTTTGAATCATGTCCATATATTTGATTTTTTTGATCATGATTTTTTTTTTCACATAGCAATTGCCAAATCCTTTACCAAGATTAATTCTATTCTGATGAATTAAAAATTCTAAAAAAAAATTTTTTTTAAACAATTTGTGGGTAAAAAATTACTGAAGAGCACCAGAGGGTTACAACAATTTGATGAAACCTGGATATTTTGATGTTCAGAGAACATTCAGGAATAACATTTTCAAAACTAGCTGGGAACGTTAGCAAAACATTCTTAGAGCGTATTTTTGTTAGCTGGGAAAACACAGATCACAAAATAAGGCCGATTGCATAGAACATGAGCTGTTTCCACATTCGCAAACTGGGTTCGAGGCTTAAAGGCCAAAGTGTTTCTGCAGTAAACTGTTGATTTCTGAAATAGTTTTTAGAAAAATAAAAAGCCACAAATATTAAAGAACTCATTCTGATGTGTTCGATCGCAGCGAGTTCAGTCCGTTTTGGTCTGATCGGCTTTCAGTCTTGTGTATCACTCACATTGTGTGAACGTTTTCCGGTTTCTTATCGAGATATGGGCTTGATTTCGGGTTTGATCAAGTGTATTGTGTTATGTATTTTAGCTGGGATCGATCTGATTCGTAGTTAGGCTGTCCCGTGACAGCTGTGGCACCGTGTGACGCATTGATATTGACACTCTGACACGGAGACGTTAAAGCACCTACAGGATTTGGGGTTTGAGGGAGTGGGCTCTGTCCCTCAGTGTAAGGCCATTGGCCAATTGCTGGGAGGCCTGAGAGCTGATTGGAGCTCGTGGGGGGAAGAGGGCGGGGCCAGACTGGGCAGGTATCAGCTGATTGGCCCCTCCGTCTCTCCGTCCTTGTCCGACTCGTCTTGTATCTCTTCAGTGTTCCCTGAGTCACTGCTCGCGGATGAGCTGATGGAAAGAGAATTTCTGAAAGAGAAAGAGAATATGATTCAAATCCACATTAAAAAACCCTCATTCTCAGGAAACGCTGTCAGTTTTGTCTGCAGGACTTATTATTGATAAAATGAACATGGAAAATCTAACTAAATTAAAACGAAATATAAAAAAAAAATGTATTACGGGAAATAAAATAAATGTTAACTAAAATAAAATAACTTAAAAAGCTTAAACATTTCTCAACTTAAAATAACTAAAACTGAAATTAAAATGAATAAAAATTATTAAGACATTTAAAAAAATACAAAAAATTACAACAAAATTACTAAAGCTAACTAAAATGGAAATGAAAATGGAAAATAGAAAAAAACTAATTCATACTAAGAAACTATATTCCACTTGTGTGATGAATGAATATCATCCGTGATTTATGCCATCTCTTTAATTACACTTCTAAACATCACATTTTAGCACAAAAAAGGCAGATAAAAGATCAATATATATATATATATATCAGAATCAGAATCAGAAAGAGCTTTATTGCCAAGTATGTTTGCACATACAAGGAATTTGTTATAGTGTCACAAGCTTCCAGTACACAGAGACAACAACAACACACAGATAATACAAATTAGATGTGAATAAAATACACATACGCATAAATATAAACCACAAAAAAAGAATAATGTGTATGTACAGGTGTGGTATAGATGGAATAGGAATAGAATAAAATTAAATAAGTTGTAGGGATGTACTAGGGTTTAGGGTGATAAATAATTATAAGGTTATTGCACATACTGTACTTTAATTGCACAATGGGAGAACATTAACTGTTCATGAGATAGATTGCCTGGGGAAAGAAACTGTATATATATATATATAAATAAAGTTGTGCAAGCTATGGCAGTGATCTGTGTTTGTGTTTTTCATTCTAAAGGAATTTATATACAAGATTAAAATAAAAAATGGCAAAATAACCACAATCATTTTCTACATGCAACATTATGAGGTCATTTAACATTTATTGTGACAAAGCTGAAAAACAAGATATAAGCTGCCATTATATTTGTATTTTTTATTTGTTATGTAGGGGATTTTAAAAATGTGATTTCTAGACCTGAATGTAAATTTTAAAAAAGTCATGCAAATTCTTAATATATAAATATATAAATATATATATATATATATATATATATATATATATATGGGTGTTAGAAATTGCTATTTGTGAGTAAATAATAAAAAACGAATGAATCAGTGTAATCACAAACGTCTGGAAAAGTCATGTAAATTGATAATAAAAAGTGTAAGCCCTGTAAAACATTGTTATTGAAAATTGTAAAGTGAAATGATCTATAATTATTTTATTTAATTATTTTAATATATTGGCACTCCTAATTCCTGCAATTAAAAAGAAATGGTCAGCCTTGTCATTACAGGAGAAGAAAACCTCATCTTAAAATGAAAGTGATTCATCATTTGCTAGCTGATCACATCTTGCCGGGTTAGGACATATTGCTAGACTTTGTCTTTAGTACTTTTGAAAACGACAGATATTTCAGATCTTAGATCAGCACTATAAGCTGTTTTTCTTAGCAAACGTCCTTTAGTGAAGCTGCATTCTCTGAATGATGAGTGAAATCACCTGCCACCCTTGATCATTCTCTTGCACGTCTCCATCTGCACGTCCAGCCCTCGTTTCATGCTGCACATCTCCATGTACTCATGCAGATGTTTGTTCATGTCACTCTTAGCCGTGGCCAACTCCATCTGTGTGCGAGAGAGATAGATCGCAGACACATTCAACTTCAGTAGGAGGACAAACACGATCCCAACCAATCCCAGTTTGACTTGGATGGAAATACAGAAAAACAGGCACATTCTAACCTCGATTTGTCCGATTGTCTTCTGATATTCCTGCTCTCTGGTCTTGAAAACAGACTCGGTCTCATCGATGAGATTTCCCAGACTGCAATCCTGAGATATGTGACACACAATGGCTTATTTCACTCATATTTACTCTCAATCTGTACAAATGTGCTGAGAACAACACTGATAAAAGAAGAAATGAAAACATTTATTGAGCAAGGTGGCATTAAATTGATGAAAATTGACAGTAAAGACATTTATAATGTTACAAAAGATTTCTATTTCAAGTAAATGCTGTTTTTTAACTTTCTATTCAGCAAAAATGTGTTTCCACAAAACTATGAAGCAGCACAAGTGTTTTCAACATTGATAATAATCACAAATGTCTCTTTTCTGAAGGATCATGTGACACTGAAGACTGGAGTAATGATGCTGAAAATTCAGCTTTAGATCACAGGAATAAATTACATTTTAAAATATATTCACATAGAAAATAGTTATTTTAAATTGTTATAATATCTCACAATTTTACAGTTTTTCCTGCATTTTTAATCAGAAACATGCAACCTTGGTGAGCAGAAGAGACTTCTTTCAAAAGCATTAGATAGTCTGACCGACCCCAGTCATTTGAACAGTAGTGTATATGGATGAGAAATGGAAACTCACAGTGTCGTGTGCGTCTCCGTTGCTGTCGAGGGCACCGGTGCTGTTGTTAAGGCTGTAGGGCATGTTGTAATTGGTGAAATCCTCCCATAGCAGCAGCGTATCATCGTTCTCTTCCCACGTCAAACTGTCACAGTCATCATCGATCTCAAATGTCTCCCGCCTAGCAACAAATGAGTTATCTGAACAATGTCTGCGTGTGAGGAAATAGAATGGGACAGAAAGAGAGGAGAGAGAAAGAGCAGGCAGTGAAGACAGTCACAGGACGAGAGTGAAGACCAGCAGAAAACAGGACGGATACATACACATACAGACGTACACCACATTAAACGAGACCCAAATCTGATTTTTGCCTCACTGTGAACAGCGAAATTTGCACTCACATTTTCAAGTGGAAATTGGGTATGCATTTGTTTTGCAATGTGACTTCAGTTTTTTTATTTTTATTATTATTCATTATTTGAAAGCATCATTTAACCCTGTAAAGCCAGACATATGAAATTATAGTCAGATAAAAAAAAATAAAAAATGTATCTAAAAAAGGTTTGCTCATGTATTTTTGTTGAGTATCATCTTCAATACATCAGGTTTTCATGGCTCATATAATATTATTTAGTAAGAATATAGAGGAAAAAACAGCTCGGTTTTATTCAAAGGCAAAGATATGCAATTTGGTGCAAATGCTGATATTTATATGGTCAAAAAGTAAGATGAAATTCTGATAACTTGCAATGTAAATCAGTGAGATCTTAATAACAGTATAACAGACTACTTACATAAAATGATATAAATATCAGTTGTCACTCTGTATCTCCCAATAATATGTCTTAGTAAAAAGATATTTAAATGCATAGTTTTATTATCAATGCTCTGTAGTTTTAAAACATATAATGCAATGCCATGTTGACTGAGAGTTGAACAAATAAATGTTGCTCAAAAACCTGATTATCAAATTTGATACATTTTAATGACTTTACGAAAATAAAAAAGATTTATATTGTATGGATAATCAAGTAAACCTAAGTTTCTTCAGTACAGTAAGTGTTCATCTTGAAATATTACTAACAATATAAAAGTTATTCTTACGTTTACTTTATAAAAATTAGTAAAGATTTCACAGCAAAAAGACACATGAACCACAACCTGAAGGTGGACGTTTTTACAATTAACAGTGTCTCCCTGACATGACTGCATAAACACTACTGCGTTCCTGAAACCACGCCTTCTTTCTTTGCGTGCACATTTGGGGGGCATTATGCTAATATTTCCACATAGTGACGTAGATATGTGGGGGCGTGTTAGAACGAGCCGTTTTAGGTAGGTGTGGTTGACTCTTAACTTTTATAAAGAATATCTCTTTGGATTTGAGACTTTAGTCTTTGCAATTTTACAGTTTTTCTTTATGCACCAAGAGCTTGTAACACTCCAAAGAGAAAGGAAAACTTGAAATCGCATCATATGACCCCTTTAAAAGGCCTTTTACTTGCCTTTTTTACCTAAAAAATTTCAACCAGACATCAGAAAGCATGTAGTAGATTGTGTGCAACAGGCTTTCAGCCAAGTTTTGTGTAATCATCAAAACATAAAATGATACAGGCTTTATAGGGTTAAAGAGGTGCTCCACCTGAAAAACATTTGATTTCATTACTGTTTTAGTCATTTGCAATTAATTTAATGAATCATTCATTTGAGTCAGTAAACTCAGGTTGCTGTCTAAAAAAACTAGGTGGTATTACAGTTTTTTTATTCGCTTTGGTAGCCTACTGTTTTCACAAGTAAAGTGTATATTTTCAAAACTCTTAGTACAAAAATCTAAACTGATCACACTTGTAACATCGCTAGTCATTCTTTTCAAAACTGATCTCATGCTTTCATTACAATTACACATATTTTCATCCACACAATCATTGTTTCAAAACATAAGCTTATTGTAATATATATTGAGAACATTTGATTTAATCACCGAAACACAACAGTATAATCTTTTTTCAATTTAGGACTTTTAACAATCAGTTCAATTGAAGAGCAAACAATGCAAGATACATGTTTCAAATCCCCTTTGTTGCTGAAATAATTACAGTAATACAGGCAATGATAATTAATACAGGCATAACTGTCATGTTAGAAAATACACTTACATTACCTAACCTGCATAACTCACGTAAAATCCATAATGTTTGAAAAAATATTTATTCTGTGTGTTATCAAAAGGTGCGATGAAGGTCTGGCATGGCCATAAGGTTTTGTGCTAGAACAGAGTTTACTGTCAATGCAGTAAATGTCCTCACTGTGCCATATGACTGAATCTATACTGTAACTGAATTTTTCAGATGAAGGGTGAGTTATAGTAATGTGCGGTCTTTACCATGGTAATGCCTCCATATACAGTATCACATGGCATAATATAAAATGCTGTGTTTGATGCCATCTGTCTCCCTTCTCCTGATTTTTCTTTATAAAGACATCTCAATTATAAATACAGTATGTTATCAACTAACATAGTTTTGACCTGACACTATTATTCAAGATGCAACATCTGAGAGTCAGCTGATGCGAGCTTGACTAACGTGACCTGCCAGAACTAACGCTACGCTTGATTTTTGAGTGAAATATTTATTATTAAGTTTTAACTTCTTATTTTTTTGCATGCATGTCAAAAGACAAGTTTTGCGATTAAGACCGGTGTATGATACGAGCCATATTTCAAACAGTTGCATGCGAAGAACCTTAAAAATATCAGATTTGGGGAGAAAATCAAGAGTCGGGCACTTTGGCTTGCACTACAATAGCTAGGTGAAAGTGCGAAAGTGAGAATCAGAAAAACACAGAAATACCAGCTTTACGGGATCATGAAAGTGGAAAAAGATTAAAGTCTCAGTCCCCATTCATTACAAACGCATGGAAAAAGAGCAGCCTGCACAATTCCCCAAAATTGCTTTTGTCTGCCTGCAATTCTTTTCATCACCACTTGGTGCCCCCAGAGTAAGCATGAGATGATCTCATATCTCAGGCTGAAACCTGAATGTGTTTTTTGTTGTGAGGACTCACAGATGGTTGAGCATGCGTTTCATCTGGTCTGTGATGTTGAACGGGACGTCCTCCTCCGAAGTGCTGGGATCCGCATCCATCTCTGAGCTTTCCTCATCCGATACTGGCTTCTTCTCCTTCTTTTTGCACACCACAGCCATCTGAAATACACGAACATATATTACAGGCTAGGGGTGTGTGATACTGACAAAAAATGTTATCTCGATAGTTCATGTGATTTTTTCAATAATGATAATTAAACAATATTTTGCTGAGAGTGTTTTTTTTGCCAGTACAGTGGCTAGTTTAGGTCTGCCAATGGATAAATAAATATGACACTAAAACCGCCAATAGGTGGCATCAAGTAATGAGTGATTCATTGAATCATTCATTTAAATGATTCGTTCGAAATAGCTGATTCATTTAGAACCGAAGCAATTGGCTGTCTTTATGAATGGATCATTGAATCATTGACTCAAATGATTCATTCAAAAACAGATTCATTCAGAAAGGAAACAAATTTTAGACAGTGTGTCTAAAATATAACTAACTCAATGTTTTTTGAACTGTGGTATAAAGTTTGCAATCGCACACGCGCTAATATTCGCAAAAACAGCAGGCTCTCATGCTTAGTGGCATTCTAACTACATTCTATTCTAATAGGCTTCCTCATGCATGCTTCAAGACGTGTTTTTGTTTGTTTTTTGGTTTTTTTACTCACCCTGTCTGCTGGTGCTCTGGATGGACTGAGGTTGAACATCTTGGACATGTCCTCTGAGTTCCTCTGCTGGGCCACGTCACACAGTTTGGCTGTGATGTCTATTCTCCTGCAGATGTCCATGTCCACCGTCATGGCTTTCTCCTGAATCTTGGTGTCAAGGTCGGACATTTGCTAAACAAAGATTCAAGCAGCAGGGTTAGAAAATGAAAAGGAAACGATTTCTGTACAAACAATACGTTTATGATGCTGGAGAAACAGCATTTACTTAGTCAGAATGGATTTTTGTCTTCAAAGTCTGGTCTATGAATGTCAGTAGTTTAAAAAAAGCAATTGTCACTTTATTCTTACTCCCATGCCTCTAGATTTACATGAAGGCAACGTTCACACCGCAAAATTCAGCAATTTTTGACATGGGCTGTCAGTATTTTATTTGACAGCTGTATTTATTAACAGGTGTAACTCTCGAATTGTCCATAATGAACCATATACTGTCTGTATGAGCAAGTAAACAAAGTCAATCCCCTTTTCTTTAGTAGCCATAGTGACAATGACCTAATTTAAATATCAAATATGGTCCAATTGATGAGTAATTAAATTTCTTATTAAAAAAATAATTTTTTTTTAAATAAAAAAGAGTTGTTTAAAATGAAAAATTACGGTAATGTTAATATAAAAAAAAAACATAAAAAACATGGAATGTATTTAAAAAATAAATTGAATTTTTAAACATAAAAACAATATTGTAAAATAGAAAACAATATTATTAAAATTAAAATAAATGTTGATATTAATATAAAATATTTTTAAAATAAAAACAATACAAATGTATTAAAAAAGAAACTGTAATTATTCAAAAATAAAAACAATATTTGTAAATTAGAAAACATTTTTCAAAATGAAAAATAAATATTGATATTTTTAATATACATTTTTTTTAAATAAAAACAATATTTTAAAATTGAAAATAGTATTTTATAATAAAAATAAATGTTCATATTTGTTAAAATAAAAATAATATTTTTATATTAAAAAAGAATGTTAAGATTTTTAAATCAAAATAAAAAATGTAAAATAAAAATATATTTAAAAAATAAATGGTAATATTTAAAAAAATAAAAATAAAAACAATATTTGTAAAATAGAAAAAAATATTTTTAAAATAAAAAATAAATACTGATATTTTTAATATAAAAATATTTTTAAAATAAATGTAGATCACTTAGTTAAAAATACACCATTCATAAAAAAACTAATTCAGTTTGGTTCTCTGCACACCACAAATAAAAATGAAAATTCAAAAGAAAATACTATTGTCACTAACAGAAATTTTCGTGAGTGAATTGGTTTGGAAAATGTAGCTGTCACATGTAAATAACTGAATGGAGTGTAGCTGCAGTGTGTGTGTGGCCATACTGTAGTTATGCAGATTCAAACCGAGAAACTCTCATTCTCTTAACAAAAACACCCAGTGCTACAGGATCATGCTAAATCATTATAATCTCATGCTGAACATCAATTATAAGATAGAAACAACACATCAGTCATCAATCAATGTCATTGCACACAGACGCTCAGACCAACAAGTTAGTCTTGTGGTAAATCCACAGGCACGCAACCAACGTGAGCGGTTAATCTCACCTGAAGGCCTTATGGGAAACAGTTGCTCTGATTTATTTATTCTGCATGGAGAAGAGGAGGAGGCCGAGCAACAAAAACATTGAGGTACACCACCACAGAATAAAAAAAGAAAGAAATTCTCACAATTCTGCTTTTTTTTCTCATAACATGAGTTTATGTTTCACAATTCTGACTTTTCTCACACTTCTGAGAAAAAAAAAAGTGTGAATATTGGACATCAAATTCTGAGTTTATATCTCGCAATTCAGAGAAGACAAGTCGTATTCCAGGTTCATAACTTGCAATTACGAGATATAAAAATGCAGTTCTGAGAAGAAAAGTAAAAAATTCTGACTTTTTGTTCTCAGAAATGTGAGATATAAACTCAGAGTGACAAGAAAAAAGGCAGAATTGTGAGAAAGTAACAATTACCTTTTTTATTACCTTTTTTATGAGATATAAACTCGTAATTGTGAGAAAAAAAGTCTCAAAAAAAGCTTGTCACAATTTTCCTTGCAATTTTAAGTTCATATCTCACAATTTGGACTTATCTTCTCAGAATTGCAAGTTTATATTTCTCAAATGCAAGTTATAAACTTGTAATAAGACTTGCAATAAGAGTTTATATCTCACAATTCTGACTTTTTCCTTAGAATTGCAAGAAAAAAGTCTGAATTGTCCCTTCGCCTAGAGTTTGATTGACAGGCGATCTGACCAATCATAACGCAGACAGGAGAGTAGATTAACGTCGGTGGACTTGAACTTGAAAAATGGTGTGTTTTAGCATCTTTCCACGGTTGAAACGACACCTTCTGATGTTCACTCATGTTTATTTTGAGCTATAACTACTAGTAAAGAGGATGAGAGGATCGGTTCAGGTGCTGCTTGAACTGAGGAGCTACAGTGATCTGTCACCACACATTAAAGAGCCACAAAACACTATTTATTGTTTGAATTTCCTAAAAAAAGACCAAATTTGAAAGCTGAGATTTTGTTTCATGCCAAAAGTAACCTGCTTTGTCTTGCCTGTCGTCCTCTTTGCTCCGCGATGTATTTTTCACTGCGTGAGAACATGATGTGCGGCGTGAAAGCGTCATGGCTTGTCGGACGTAGCAACAGTAACTAAGGGGAATGGGTCTTTGCGATGGGTCAGTTGTGAGATAAAAAGTCATGATTCCTGTCTTAATTTTTTATTTCATGGCGGAAATAAGCTTCCATCAAAACAGATGCAAATTAAACAAATCAGGGCAATTGTTTTTCCTCGTTAAATTTAGTCCACTCAGTGCTTTCACAGATCATGTCTTGCATTCTCTCTTACTTTCAGGTCCAGGATTTTCCTCCGGTTTTCTACGGCTCTAGAGTGGCTCCGTCCGCCAGCCTTTATGATAAATAGCGATTTCAGTTCACAGCTTTTATTGCTCCAAAACTATGATTTTTAGCAGTGACACTCGAGTGAATGACTGGCTGGCTGACAGATGAAGCGAAGATGAGTAAGTCTAAACATTAAGCCGTAAATTCAGGTGACATCTGGATAAACGGTTTATTCATTCCTCACCATCTAGATCAGCCGGTACAAATCGAAGGCGTGTGTGCGTGGGATGATATGACAATGAGACTCAAAACAGAGCTCTGTTTGTGTATGTATTGTCTCTGTGTTTCTGCCAGAGGGGAAAAGTGGCAAATAAAGCCGAGCGAGTTTCATGGAAAACAACCAGTCACAGGATTTACTTTGGAATTAAGCTATTAAAACCTGATTGAAAAACTCAGATCCTTATCAAATGTGGTTAAAAACATCATCCATCATCCATCATCCATGGACTGAAAACACATTCTTATGCTGTGATCTGAAGATGGGATAAAATAATACAATGTTACTGATCTTCATAATGAGTACAAATAGATTTGGACTTTTTTTCTCCTAAGCATATGTCTTAAGTCTCTGTGATATTTTGGGCTCTAGATATGGAAATACTCACATCACTCATAAGGCTCTTGAAGACCACCAGTTCAGCTTTCAGTCTTTCGACCTTCTCGTTCAACTCGTCCTGAATGGCTTCGGATTCGTTTACGTTCTGAACACACGCAAACACGAACATAAGAAAACATGAACACACAAAGCAACATAAGAATACATGAAATAGTCTGTATGACGACACTTCACTCAAGCGGTCAGGGTTTAGCCAGGTTAGTTTGTTCTAGTTAGTTGGTGCATGTTTTAACTACACCATCTAGCAACAAAGACATCTCCACTGGCAAGCATTAAAAGTAGTCATATACACAACTGTTCAAAACAATCTCTTCTGCTCACCAAGACTGCATTTATTTGATCAAAAATGTGGTAAAAAAAAGGTAATATTATTTCAATTTGAAATAAGTGTTTTCTATCTGAATATATTTTAAGATGTAATTTATTTCTGTGATCAAAGCTGAATTTTCAGCATCATTCCTCCAGTCTTCAGTGTCACATGATCTTCAGAAATCATTCTAATATGCTGATTTGCTGCTCCAGAAACATTTCTGATTATTATCAGTGTTGAAAACAGTTGTGCTGCTTCATACAGTATGTTTGTGGAAACTGATCAATTTTCTTTCAGGATTTTCTGATGAATAGAAATTTCAATAAAAGTTCTAACTGTCACATATTAACTATTCACAATGTGATTATATTTGATTCCATTTAAAATATTGTAAATATTAAATATCATAAAATATTGTATATATTCAATTATGTATTCATAAATATTATATTTATAATTCATACATTTATTTAAATTGGTGATGCTCCAATTTTTTTTTAACCAAAACACTGAACGAAATTAGAAGTTGAAAAAGTTGAAAACCAAAACTGAAAAAAAATTATTTAATAAAAAATGTATCAAATTTATTTTTTTTGAACACTCAAATAAAAACTAAGTTGTATATAAGCATATAGAATACACGCATATAGTACACATGCACACATACTGTATATTGTATATTAAATATATATATTTTACCAGTGCCCAATTTGGAAGATTTTTAAATAACACAAAAATGACTTGTTTCTGTTAACAGACAGCTATCTCCTGATATTATAGACCTTGACTTGGCTTTATTAATAAAGCTTACAGACAGATCTTCATGTTAATGCCATGAGCACACACTTTCTGAAAAAAAAAAAGGTACGAAAGCTGTCACTGCAAATATGTACCATTAAGGTACTGATATGCACCTTTAGGAGTAAATAAAAGATACCACCCCAGTGACAGCTTTTGTACCTTTTTTCTGTGAGTGCATGATGCCAGTGTAGCCTGAACACAGCACACACTCTCTCCCATCTAATGAAATCCCCACAGCGACGGCGCTGAAGGTTGCAGAGGAAATCCATACAACTCAGGGCAGAATTTTAAAAAGCCGGCTCTGAGCATGTTTGGGATCTCTGGGGATGCTTCTCTCCTCTGCAGTTTTGCTGACCCATAATCCAACACAAACACAGATGCAGCCGTTTATTGATTTTCCCGCTGCATCAGCAGAGGATGGATCTCACACCTGCAGCGGGTTTCTGGGGTAATGTGGCGAGTTTGAGACTGACATGGATGCGGCACTGGGCCACGCGGACATATTTAAACACTCAAACTCTTAAATGCATTCCATTTACAGCCCTGACCCAGATTGTTTGATTAGACACACACACACACACACAGACACACACAGACACACACACACACACACACACACACACACACACACACACACACACATACACACACACACACACACACACAAACACACACACACACACACAGTCGTTTATATTTGCTCAGATCACATGTGTGAGAAGTTACTCATCATGTATTTTAGCAGGATGGCATGCTCACACTCACATGGGGTCATTTCAAGGAACACCAGATTTAATTTTATCATAAGCGGTTTATTCTGGGTGGTTGCTTATTATTTAAACTTTAACTTCTCTCAAATCTCTGACTTTTGATTGCAGAATCAATCTGAGCACAAACTGAGACATCATTGAGATCTCTTCTAAGACTTTAGAGGAGAAACATGTACGAATCCATACAGCAAAATGAGTTGTTAAATTATACAAAAAAATGACCAAACCTTATATTGTTATACATATAAATATATTTTGATACGTTTTTTACTTACTTATATTTCCTCATACTTTCTAGCTATTTTAATATTTATTTTCAATATATTTATATTGTCCAAAATACTTCGGACATGCATTGACTAAAAAGTCATTTTCTTGCCCCTTTCAAGTATGTTTTCTAATATTTTCTAATGTATTTAATGTAAATATATGTATATTGTTGTTACAAATACATTTTGCATTCACCCAAAATTTATTTTAAGACTAGAAATGGTTTTAAATGTTTTTCCTGTCCTCTGAAGTATATTTTTAAATATATTTCCTCAGATATTTTCTATGTACACATTTTATGTACATTTTGCAATAACTCAAAATTTATTTTAAGATTGGAAATGTATTTTCTTGCTGCATGAAGTATGTTTTCTTATATTTTTCAATATATTTTCTGTCCATTTTATATATATATTTTTTTCAATGTAAATATATATATATATATAGTCAAAAATACATAAAAAAAAATACATTGTGCATCAAATTTATTTTCAGATTGGAAATGTATTTTGGCATTTAAAGGTTTAAACCAAATATATTTGCTCAGATCACATGTGTGAGAAGTTACTCATCATGTATTTTAGCAGGATGGCATGCTCACACTCACATGGGGTCATTTCAAGGAACACCAGATTTAATTTTATCATAAGCGGTTTATTCTGGGTGGTTGCTTATTATTTAAACTTTAACTTCTCTCAAATCTCTGACTTTTGATTGCAGAATCAATCTGAGCACAAACTGAGACATCATTGAGATCTCTTCTAAGACTTTAGAGGAGAAACATGTACGAATCCATACAGCAAAATGAGTTGTTAAATTATACAAAAAAATGACCAAACCTTATATTGTTATACATATAAATATATTTTGATACGTTTTTTACTTACTTATATTTCCTCATACTTTCTAGCTATTTTAATATTTATTTTCAATATATTTATATTGTCCAAAATACTTCGGACATGCATTGACTAAAAAGTCATTTTCTTGCCCCTTTCAAGTATGTTTTCTAATATTTTCTAATGTATTTAATGTAAATATATGTATATTGTTGTTACAAATACATTTTGCATTCACCCAAAATTTATTTTAAGACTAGAAATGGTTTTAAATGTTTTTCCTGTCCTCTGAAGTATATTTTTAAATATATTTCCTCAGATATTTTCTATGTACACATTTTATGTACATTTTGCAATAACTCAAAATTTATTTTAAGATTGGAAATGTATTTTCTTGCTGCATGAAGTATGTTTTCTTATATTTTTCAATATATTTTCTGTCCATTTTATATATATATTTTTTTCAATGTAAATATATATATATATAGTCAAAAATACATGAAAAAAAATACATTGTGCATCAAATTTATTTTCAGATTGGAAATGTATTTTGGCATTTAAAGGTTTAAACCAAATATATTTTACATTTGGAAAATATATTGTCTTAAAGGGACAGTTCACCAAAAATGTTCACCCTCACGTCATTCCAAACCTGTGTGAGTTTCTTTCTTTTGCTGAACACAAAAGACGATTTTTCTGAAGAATGTTGGTAACCAAACAGTTGACGGTAGCCATCGACATCCATAATATTTATTTCCATACTATGGAAGTCAATGGGGACCAGAAACTGTTGGGTTACCAACATTCTTCAAAACATCTTCTTTCGTGTTTAACACATAAAGGTTTGGAACAACATGAGGATGAGTAAATGATGACAGAATTTTCATTTTCAGGTGAACTATCCCTTTAACTATACATTCCACATATATTTTGATCAGAAAAAAAAATATTTTTGCCATACTGGAAAAATGATACGTCCTGAAGAAACGCTTGAGAAGATCTTATTTGTGCTTTGCATTTGCATTTGGGCAACAAACGTGTTGAATACGACCCCTTTAACTGTATAATTTCAGTATGTTCTCCAGCATCATGGATCTGGATGTGGACACTCTTGTCATAGGTTTCAGCTGTCGTCAAGTGAGAAACCCACGTCACATAAATGGCAAATGTAATTAGTATCACATTGAGAGAGTCTAGACGGCTGGAGCGCAGGTGAGCTCACCTCCTGCAGCGTCTGCACCATCGACTCCATCTGTTCTCTTCTCGACAGCTCCTCCTCCCATCTGCAACACACAGGACACACCTCTGGTGAGTCTGACCATCACACTATGAGTCATTTTATATCATGGTAACGGTGCACATTTATGTTATAAAATTACAACTTTGCTGTTGTGGCAACAGCATCAAAGCCTCCTTAGGTGGAAAATCCAATGAATTAAATACTTACTCAAATGAAAGCAACTTCATCTGATATCAGTGCAACAGATTTCTATTATGTCCCAAACAGCAAAAAATATATATTTTTAAATATCCCAATATATTTGTGGCCATTTTTTGTATATTTTTGGGAATTTAAAAGCATTATTATTATTATTATTATTATTGCCCTCCATATATTTAAACCCAAGAAAATACATTCACATGTCACATTTGTAGAAGAACTTGTCTATAACACAGGTGAACATATAACACATCCTCCAGTAGGTTATTCCTAAATGTAAATTTTGATATTTCTGAAACATATTTTGGTATATGAAAGTTGAAAGTAAATATATCATAATATTTCACTTTCAAAACACTGCTTACAACATATATTTAGCATACTGAATATTTAAAATTGTAGCATTTATTTATTTATTCAATGTTTGAGAGTTAACGCTTGCATTAATACAAATGACTCAAGGCAATAAATCATAGATTAACCAATCTGATTGGATGCATCACCTTTTAAGTTTAATCAATCAATTATCACTTTGATTCATTTATATTTATACATTTAACAGATGCTTTTTATCACAGAGCCAACAACATTTGTAGTATACAATGCCAGGTTTATTAGAAAGCTAGATTAAAGTCTTAACTTATTTGGATCAACTCAAGAAGTCACCTTTATTTCTTTAGCGATTTATACAAAACAGATTGTTTCAAATGTGCTTCACAGTAATAAACAGGAAAATAACAGAACCAATGGTGCAAACTTCAGCTCTAAAAAGACAACAGTGTCATTATTCAGCTCACAGTGTAAATTAACATAAAGCAGTCCTGCTCGATTATAGCTATGCAGATGGTTCATGCTGTGTTCATATGCGGACAAAGGCTCATCTGTTCCCTTTTGGTCTCATTGATCGTTGAGCTCAGGAATCCTCCGGTAAACCCTCGGCTGTGCTCCGCTGGCGTCTGTGGTCTGTGTGCCCACCCCAAGGTGTCTGGGACGGGCCAGATCTGTAACCCAATACTGCGCTCTGACAGACAGAGGAAAACCAGCACAACCAGACCAAAGGGTAGACTTATGGGATTGATTCTTTACAGATATCAACTAATTCATGTTACAGATCATCACCTGAAATACAGCAAAAAATTTACTTATTCTTATGTGACGCCATTAGGAATTTGTTAAATTAAATTCTATTCTATTCTATTATATATATATATATATATATATATAAAACTTTTTTATCTTACAATTCTTTTTTCTCAGCAATTTTGTGTTATAAAGTCAGAACTGTGAATTTATATCTCGCAAAAATGTTGACTTTTTTTTATCTCAAAAGTCAGATTTAGGAGTTCATATCTCACAAAAAAATAGTGTCAATTGTGAGATAAAACGTTGCAATTAGCTACCTTTTTTATCTTGTATTCAGTGGCGGAAACATGCCTTCCATATATTATTTTATTTGGGGTCAGTAGCATTTATTTTAAAGACATTTTATACCTAGAACACTTTTATATGAATAATTTTATTTAGTGAGGATGCATAAGACACTACTTTCAAAAACATGCTGTGATTGGCTTATATAATAATATTAATTATTATTATTATTAAATAAAATGTATTATAATTCACTATATAACAAGGTTAGGTTATTGTGTATTCTGTGGTCTCTGTTTGGTTTACAGTAATCTGTAAAGTAAATTCAAATCAGGAAATGACAAACCACAAGCCAGGGAAATGCTTCTGAAAGCACATGAACCATTACTTAAATATGTATATCTGTTGCTTAAAGCCTGCAAATTATGACTGACAGCTGTAAAGAGACAGATAATCAAACGTGTAAACAGAATTGCAGAACAGCTCTGTGTGCCGGAGGGAATCTTTCTACTGACAATCAAGTAATTTCTGAGGCATCACTCCCTGTTGCTATGGCAACGCATGAGACCACCACTAAAATAGTGCAGATGAAGCACTCGATCACATTTACTGCTGGCTCTGAGCCGCTTCACTGTTACTACGGTGTGGTAAACAGTACACACTCACACTGCAGTGCTGCTGAATGAGACATGGGTCTATAAAGGACACACAGCCATGTGATGTCAGCATACTAATTAGGGCACTTGAGGATCTCAAGTGAGTGAAGTGGAAACTTTCCCTTAAGATACACACACACACACAGACACACGTGCGCTCTCAAACACACATAAAAGACACTTCAGCAAATCACAAATCCATCACAAAACACAAAATCTTTGCTTTCCTGTTGCCAGAGAAACTATGGCAGAAAACACACACTTAAAACCAAGGAAACCTCTGAAAAATGAGAAAAACACACAGATCTGTCTATCCATCCATCCATCCATCCATCCATCTATGTATTGTTCTATCCATCCGTTCATCCATCCATTCATCTATCTATCTATTGTAACCCAGTAACCTGCTAACCGGCCGTACAGTCAGATATGTGAAGCTGCTGCTGGTCACTGTATTCTCTCTCTCTCTCTGTCTGTGTCTAGACTGATGCTGATTGAACGCTGTTCCTAAAGTGCTGGTGTGTGGATCACACTGCTGCTGCTGCAGAGCTCTGCAGGTCACTGGAGTTCATCAGCCACATCAGCCAATCACAGCATAGCACAGCGCATCACTTCCTGCTGGATGCAGGGTGGCGTTAGCAGTGATGCAGAGGACAGAAGGACACAATCTGATCACAGTGGACAGTCTGGACCTTTGTATATGGTAAAGAGAGTCTTACTGTCATTGGAATACATAATTAAGCTCAGGAATGTTTCAAAATATGAAAATAGCATTTTCATATTTCTACATAATTATGTTTAACAGATATCCAAAGACATGCAGATCAGATTTTAGATATATGATATGCATCAGTATTCAGTTTACATTTATATGAAGCTTTATTTTTTTTTCAGCTTTTATTATTCATCACATGAGATATTTAATTTCCAAAATTAGAGTTTTGTGGCTTTTAGTCCATGTCTGTTAGCATGGAAGGAGGCATTAAATGTTCATCAAAGAATCCTGAAAACAATATCAGTTTCCACAAAAATATGAAGCAGCACAACTGTTTTCAATATTGATAATAATCAGAAATGTTTCAGCAGCAAATCAGCATATTAGAATGATTTCTGAAGGATCATGTGACACTGAAGACTGGAGTAATGATGCTGAAAATGTAACTTTGATCAAAGGAATAAATTACTTTTTAAAATGTACACAGAAAAACATATTTTAAATGATAACAATATTTCACAATATTATTGTTTTGAGTGTATTTGATCAAATAAATGCAGCCTTTATTAAGCATAAGTAACATATTTTAAAAACATTAAAAAATCTTACAGAATGGTAGTCTACGTTTAAATCGTACAGTCTTTGCTTCTGACCATGGACCAAAAATACAGCAGTAGCAAGAAGCAAGTCAAGCTTTTGGCAGGTGTTTGTGTGAACTAGTACAGGTTATTTAAAAACACAATGTGTTCCTTCCCATTGGTAAAGAAGAATCACTTTCAATTCTCCAGAACAACTAGTGAGGAGTGATTTTAATCCAGTAAACACTGAACCTAATCTCAGGAATGACAACAAGAGGACTAGTTCACTCCCAAACCCCATAAGGACAGTTTCCTGATTGTTTGAGAGGCTAATATAGACTGTACAAGGACAGACAGCAACAGATGAGAAAGTCAGTGCACAGATATTTGGCTACTCATGTACATGCATTATAAATGAGTCCCATTATGCACTGCACAAATGATTCAGTGTCACAAAAACTCCTCAGTTAATCTCACAGCTCTCTCAAATAATATTTAGGGATAAGATTTCATATTTATGCATTTTAACATAAACAAATGAATAAACGTAATGTGATGCATATTTTTCAGTCATAAATAAATGAAACGGGTATGATTTTGGTACTGAGAAAAATCATGGCATAGTTTATTAATAACTAGTTGCATCTATTTGATTTGATTTTAATAATCACATTTTCAAAATGCATTTATTATTATGCTTAGAATCAGAATAAATCTGTTCATTGTGAAAAATGTATTCAGTCAAAAATATGAACATGATTAAAATATATTATTATTATTATTATTATTACAGTAAAATTAGGCCGTTATTTTTTTTTTTTTTAGCGTTTTTTTGGAGATTGTCAGTCACTAATTTATGACTTTTTATTTTGCATGCATTTTGTGTACTGTTTATGAAGAATAGTGTTAAAATTTCCCAGAAAATACGACTCATTTCGCCAGTTCATGAGGAGACAGACTCATGTGACCAAGCTACATTCCTATGGCGGCTCAAAAATGTCAAATTACACATAATTTGCCTCTTTTTTCTTTAGTTTGGCTCTATAAAGCTGGGAAGTAATAGAGGAGGAAAATGCAATTGCCAAACCCATAAACATTAACTTCCCAGGAGGACTTACTTCTTCCTATATATGCAAATATGACAGAGGCATATGCTAATGTCTTGTATATGGGAGGTAAAATGTTTATGGCCAGCTGTTTGCATCTACAGAGGTCTCGTGGCTCTAAAAGCTGTTAGTTAAGGGTCTTACACAGCATGTTCAGCTTAAACACTTAAAAGAGAGCAACCTGTTCCCTGACATTCTTTTCTGTGACACAAATGATTCTACTCGTCTCAATTTATACAAACGTGTGTTGACCAGTGATCCATCTCAGCTGAAATACTGCTGCATGTGCAGAAATAAAGCGCAAGCCAATGCAGGAAATCAGCGATGTGTTTGTTTGTGAGTTCAGGGTCTGAATGATTAACCTGAGATGCAGAGGACAGAACAGATCCTTCTGCGCTCATGCACAGCAGCCTAATCAA